TATGTAATTCTGAAGTCAAGGTTTCCTAGTACTTCTAAATTTTAGCTTAATTTCATAAGTTGTAAAGCCATGCAGTAAAATAGCAAGGAACTTCAACTCTATTTTTTAAATTTATAGAGCTATAAAATATTATTCACAGAATGAGATGTCTTTCCCTAAATATCTGAGGTTTTAAAATATAATAAAAATCAAAAGCATATGTGAAAGGCAAAATTATTTAAATGCATATAAATGATTCAGTTTGCAATACTACCACCTAAATAACAGAAACTTCCTTCTCAGTCCAGTAATAACGCTTGTGAGAGTGGATTTACAAGCTCATCCAAGCCTCCAAGGAAATCAGTAGCTGCAACTGAATCCCATTCTAGTGCTTAAACCAGACCAGGTCATTTTGTACTTGTGAGTACAACTGGTGCCTAAAATAATTTTGAGAAATGAACGCATTTTAAGTGAGCCATTACAGCTAATCTGAAAAACCACCTCCTACCAGTTATTCTGGGAATAATAGATTTCTGATTACCACTGCATGGTGTGATTAAGGCTAGGTTGAAAAATACTGAAGTAAGAGAGATAGGACAGCTAAGAAAAGCAGCAGGAAATAATCACAGCTGTTTGTTGTTTTTTTGTTGTTGCTCTCCCCCCGCCTGAACAGAAAAACAAACAGACTTTGAAGAGCAGATGTTCAAGGACAAAAAATTGACTACAACTTCTAGGCTTTTCTTGCTATTGACCTTTGTTTTATATTTAGGAAACAAAAAAAGACAGTTATGACTGACTCAAGCTTTCCCTAACTAGTTAACTTTTAAATGCACACTGGAAAAGGCTACTGTAATTAATCTCGTTATTAAAATATTTAAGTTTCCTAGCTACATATTTTTTTTCATAATAATCAAGATAGATTTAAAATTCAGTTATTTCTGGTCTTAATTGCTGCACAGTGTTATTAAGTATCCAGATGTGTGGCGTTAGTTACAGAAAGCAATAACATATTTGTATTCCCTGCTCTCCAAATCCAGACCGGACACTCAGTGTTTTTCAGCATTTCTCATGACCACTGGGGCAAAAGCATGTTGATATCCTATATATACTTTTTTTTTTTTTTTTTTTTTTTTTTTTTTTTTTTTTTATTTTTTATTTAAAGGTGATTTACAACTACCATGTGACACATGCTCGCTGAATCTAAAGTTAATGTTCAAAACTCATTGTTTATTTTGGAGTCTGATAAAAAAACCTAGAACATAGTGATGTGCTAATTACAGAAACATTAACATTCCTTCCTGTGTAAATATAAGTAACATAAAGATGGCACTAATGTTTCTTAATGACCTAAATTATGTGGCTATGTACTTATACTCCATCACATGGATCCATGTTTCACAAGGCTGCCCACTCACACACCCAGACACAGTATTTACATTGTCATAGAGAGTGGTCAACTGTATCAAACCTTTATAATAAAATATAATAGTTCCAGATTCTTAAACTTAGGGGGAATGATATTCAAACATACTTCTCATATATATAGTAATGGCGCTCATGCTACATCCTGCAGAATCCTTTCCATATAAATAACATTTCTAAAATGCTGTGGAGAGAATTCTGTTCTTCCTTATCACGCCTCTGTATAAGGAGTAAGGAGAACTGCGCCCACATATGTATGCTTATATGTTTGTGCTATGTACACACATACTCCAGTGACAAGCATGGATATGACTAGTTGTCAGTGCATTTTTATGAAGTGCCAAATAACTTGTGTATGTGTATACATTCACAGACATGTTTCTTTAAAAATAATATTTATTAATCTACTAATGAATTTGCAAAGAAATTTTTAATTCATACTGAATTTTAAGTACTGGAAAGGTTGCTGAATATTTCATAAAATCTGACAATAAAAATTTAAAGTGTCCTGGTTTTCCATTAATCAGTGAGTCATTTCCACCAAGATTATCACATCGAAGTCCAGAATAGCATGGCATTATTAGATTTCTTTTATTTTTAAATATATATGGATCTTAATCCTGAATGTATAGTCTTTAAACAATTTTCCTATCTATTAAAGTCCTGTGAGGTTATTATCTTCTGAGTTCTTCAGGAACTAGACTTGAATCCCTACCTGTCTTATAACACCCATCCTCACCACCCTCAGCCTGGACAAGATGGCTTGCTTTAATTGTGCATTGTTCCTGATGCAGTCATGAGTTCAATACAGTTTGTTTAAAAATACTGCATATCATTACATAATATAACTAATTGCAGTTGTACTCTTGTTTACATATTAATACACACAACAAAATAAGTTGTCATTGGAGACCGAGCATCTCGAATGCTTGAAAATCTGCAGTTGCACACAGCAAAAAGGAAGTGAAAATAATCAAAACAGTCCCTCAGGATTATAAAGTAGATTGCTGCACAAGCTACTCCAATAAAAAAGGAAAATTATGACAAGAGTCTCCCTTACAGAGTGAACACCACATCTGAGGATTTTCTTGAGTGATCTCTACATGGAAATCAACAGATATCAGAGGTAACCCTAACATCTTTTCTGGGCAGTGTTCCCCAGTGATGCTATTTACCCTTTTTAAAATACCATCCTGAGTAGAATCCAATGCTAAACAAGACAAGAAGAATATGAGAGCCCCTTTTCTACCAGCGTGAGATGACAGTCTAGCACCAAACAGGAGGCTGTCTAGCTGCATGGACCATATGAGCAACAGCAATAGTAATGCCTAAGGTTAAGGACTGAGAATTGTTTTTACCTAGTGCATTCAAAAGAAACATATGCTTTCAAACATAGCTCACAGGTAGGGAGGCAGCTAATGTTTTGCAGACTTTGATCTACAACACATGCTAGCACTCAGTTTGTGGATCTGTAGGGCAGACACAAAAAGATCCAAAAGGAATAGAAGATATCTGAACCCAGTCTTCACCCAGTTTTCAAGTTTTTACTCAAGTAAAAACGATATAAATTTTTACACTCAATTTTGTTGCGATAAAAATGAGAATATGGTCTTTTTCTGAACAAACTTGGTAAATAAATTCCATCCCTGAATCCCACTATAGAGTATAGTAAGCTGCAGCAAGCAAAACTTTAGGAAAGGAAGTTGCTTGGAGAAAGTTTAGATTCACTTATCATAAATGTTAACAAAACCGGACTCTGAATTGTAGCTCTACAACCCACACAATATTTAGAGTTACTTCACAAAGTAAAAAATAAACATTTATTTACAATCACATACATTAAAATATATATCATAAAATAATAGCCCTGTATACATTCAGCATAATATATTCAGCACAGTGAAAAAAAAAATCAATAGTTATTTAAAGAGAATTAACACATACTGTCCAACTTCAAGGAAAATAATCCACACCTTTGCAAAGCCAGGAGTAAGACTTTCCCAAATATCCACAGACGCCCAAATATAAAAAGGGATGTTGAATACCTCAGAGAGTGTCTTCTCTCTTCTCAGGATCTGGAAAATGGGATATCACCTTCCAGCATGACATATGTACTTATTTGAGAATCTGTGCTGCATTGTATGCACTGACGGAGTGCAGAGCACTGTATTTGCTATAGTTATGCACTGATGATGAATTACAAGTGAATTTATTTTTGTACAAGTGAACAATCCTAAATGTAAATGTTTATTAGAACTTTTGTTACTGCCTCAGTCAAAGGCATTCATTAACTTACTATTATTGCAATGTAATAAGTGACAGTTTGCCTTTATTTTACTTTCTATAAATATATATATTTATGCTAATCACACTTCATATTTTAATGTTTTATCCTAGAGTTTCTGCTGGTCCAGTTACCAGCAGTGGTACTACTGATGAACAGATGGAGCATTCATTATGTGAAGACTTCTCAGCTGAAGTTCTCTCTGTTTTGTAAGATAGTGGAAAGAGTAAGCACAAGTGGGAGCAGAAATATGCCAGGAGTTTCTGCAATATTCAAGTTTTTCTACACAAGTGAGTGCTATGAAGAAGGATTTTTCAGTAGATGGACGCAGAAGATAGAAGCATTCTTCTGAGAGCTATGAATGGATACAGAAAGCTGAGAACTTCATTACCTACAATCTGAGTAAACTATACAGCAGAGTGCCTGAAAAATCAGCAAATCCTTCATTATGTGAGTGGTGTAAAATACAGGAAAGCACGTTAAATATATAGAGAAAGAGTGCATACAAGCAACCCCTCTAGCTGCTTAGAAAAATTTCTCTTTCAAGGTGGAAATAGTGCCTGGATACCTGCCTGTATACTATACAACAGGAATACCTCATTTTGAGTGTGTTGCTCAAGGCTGGCACAAGTCCCTACAAAAGGGTGCTCTAGCATTTTTGAAACTGCTTGACAGAAGTTCTTTGCCATCTAAACTCCTGAATTTGTAGCTCAGGAAGTGTAATTCCAGCTTGAGCACACTGACACCTGCAGGAAAGCTTCTCCCTGCTCAGAGGCTTCCCTCCAATCCCAAGTGTATGCAACCGCTCACCAAATTTGTCCTTGGAATGACATTTTCCCTTCAGCAGGGTAATACCTCTTCTTGCAGTACACAACAATTTAGCCTTTCAAGAAGACAATGAGGACAGAGTTAGAGAATCATAAATCAAGCTATGAGATTCAATTGTCTTTTTTTCCCCCCTTCTATCTCCATACTTCAAGAGATTTAGGAACTGTTCCAAGTGACTCCACTACAGGAAACATTATCTTCCAAAAGTAAAATAGAATAGCTCTATTAAGCTAGTTTCTCAAAGAAATATTCAATGTATTATAATCAACACCCAATAATAGCATGTTCTTAAATGTCAAACTTCCAATTTGCCTAAGGATTCTCTGCCACTCAGAAAGCACCTTGAAACAGCTGGCATTAGTAGTCCTTTGTCTTCAGTGTCACATGCATAACTCTGTATGACCAGTGTAGAGTAATTTTATACTATTCCCTATTTCATTTCCAGCTTAAAGCTGTGTGTAATGTCAAAAACAATCTTTGTACTCACCCCAGCCTTTGGTTTAGCTCCAGAAGTGGCTGCTGAACAGAATGATGTTTGATCAGGAGTATGGATGTTAGGAGACAAGCTTGTTTGAGAATGTCTTACATCTGCTCCAATTTCAGAACCAGATTCACCATCCTAGTAAAAGTTACAAGTCTCTTTAGTAATATGAATATGAAATAAAAGTTTGTCTTTTAAATAATGTGTATATTTACATAGAATCACTCAAATTTATATGCTTAGTTCCCTGTATAACTGTAATTCCACCTATTCTTTTCTATCACTTAGACATTCTCTTGCTTTCCTATTCAACGTGGTAGTTTGCATTAACTGCTGTTAGGAAATTATAAATCACCACTAACATCAAAGCTAGAACTCCCCTAAACAGTAGAACGCAGGGTAAGAAAATCAGACTTCTGCAGCCCTGAACTGACATTTTTCTCTAATGTTCAGCATTTCCTGTGTGCTCCCACCTTCTGTCTCCCACTACGCTGCAAGCTCAGTAAACATCTGTAAGCCATTACACAGCTGAAATGACATCATTGTACCACAGTTCATACTATTCAGAGGTACAGCTCCCTAGTCTTTTGCGCTCAGTAAGCACTTATCAGCTACCTGTAAGAGCATTTTAACTAGAAATAACTTTTAATGACACTGGTTTCTTTTTTTTCTTTTTTCTTTTTTCTTTTTTCTTTTTTCTTTTTTCTTTTTTCTTTTGAGAATAAAAAGAAGAAATAATGTTTTATTTTTGAGGAAATAAAAAGAAGAGAATGTTTGATTTAGTGTACAGAATAAAGACAGGCGCTTGTATTGCTTGTGGATACATTGCAACACTTAACCAGCACTGAGCAGGCCATGTCAAAGAATTGCCCTATACTGGCCAGATTATTAGCTGAAATGCAGCCTATGAATATAGTGCTTGCAAAAGAGCCTGAACTATTAACCCCAGCCAACACTGCGCAGATAAAGGCACAGTTTCCTAATATCATGTTCCTCGAGTAGCTGAAATAAGGAGCAAAAATATCTCAGGAGCTCCTGAACTGGAAATAAGTGGCAGACCTTTGATTCATTAATTCCAGTTAAGCGCCTGTCAAAAAGAAGCTGCTGATTAGACAGATGCCTCTGTACCTTTTTCTGGTGGGCTTCTTTGCAGCTTGGAAACAGGCACCACCTCTGATTGTCTCGCAGGCTTACTTACATGGATTGTCCCAACTCCCTATTTTGTTGTATGAAGTTACCCAAAATGCTGACATTTATTAGCAAGATGCGTCATATTTGAATTTTCCTCTTCCATCAGTGCCCAAGGAGATGATGTGAATACATTGAAATGCAAAGGGAAAATTTTAACTATTAAAAGTATATTTATGTAATAGTCTATAAAAATGATTATTTTTATCTTCCAAAACCACTGAAACCAAAATATAGCTTTCCTCGTCTATAGACCACTCACTAGACTACATTACAATAATGAAGTCTGGCTTTAATGGGAAAAGCCTCTCATATTTTAGAAGAAAATATCACCGGTAAAAACAAACAATCTGAATATTAGCCTAGACATTTTGGGGCAGTATTTCTCAGGTTTCTTAAATTGAAAAACAGCTGCTACACATGTGGATAAAATTAACAGGAAGCCTGCATGAGAACACCTTGGGTCAGTCATTTCAGGTTCTTTACAGCTACATGTGTAAACATTTTTCAGGAAAAAAGAACACATCCATCACGCTTGTGTCCCACACAGTCTCTTCTGTCTACTCTCAGCAAAGAATTTTATTTATTTAAAATATCATTTAAACAAAGAAAATAATTTTAAAAATTTAGATAACTTGTATGATTTTGACCAGAATTTTATTTTAAGTGATGAAGGATTTCATAAGTACTTTTCTGCCAAAAATTTCCAGGACCATTCAATGAACAGAAGAGATAGACCTGTAGCTCATAATTACTTTCAAGTCAAACTATTTAATGTCAAGTGACACATAAACATGTGCTCTGAGACTAGCGGTGATCCTGACTCTGTGTTGCATTTATAATAAGTTATAAAAGAAAGAGACAGGCATTTTCTGAATCTGTGGTCCTTATTTTTCATCTGGGGAACTTTCACAATGTTCCTTAATGAAAACATGCTAAAAGAAAATTCCAGATGCCACTTCTGCTTCCTTCAAAACACACAAAAAAACAACTAAACAAGACAAATTATTTACAAACACATCTTTAGTTATGAAACCAATAAGCTGATAAATGTGAGGAGTATAATTTTTTTATTTTTTTTTAAAAAAAGATAAAGTTAGAAAAGATTTTACTTAGAAAAATAATAAAGATATCAGCTTACAGGTATATGCCTCCGTTTGTACGTTGGAGTGCTGGATGGGGAAGAACCTGCACTGAGAGCATTTTCAATATCCTGATCCAGCTGGTCCAGTTTCATAATTAACAGCACCATTGAATCTAGCCGTGATCGATCCCGATCTCCTGTTATTTCCTAAGGAACAGAACATAAAATCGCTAAATTTGAAAGAGCTTTTTAATAAAAATTAATATTAAAAAAATTATAATAGTTTTTTAAAAAATATTTAATGTATTTTCAAATCAAATTAAGAAATAACTTTGTTTTAAGTAATGAATGTTCATTCTTTTCAGTTAATACTATTTTATGTATTTATTGGGGAGGAGGGGGTTGGGACTCCATTGTATTATAAATTCACTGAGAATTGATTTACTGCTGGGAAAACAATTTATATTATTTTTAAATATATATTCAGCAAATAAATTTAACAGATGTGCACACTTAATATGAATCCATTGTTGCTATTTCTGTAGTGCACCTCCTCTTTAAAGAGCTACTGATTCCAAACACTACTTCAAAAATCCACCCAAGTTAATTAATTTGATTGTACAAATTCAAATGTTAAAAGTTAGTGTATGATTGAAATGGAGGAGAAGGAAGTTAAAAGAAGCCGTTCTATAGTTGAGGATAACTGCAAGTATTCCTTGTGAAGATCACCAGCATAACAGTGTTTCAGTTCTTGCTGTTTTCTGTCTTGGTTGGAAATGTTTGATACAGATGAGATACATTAACAGTATGATAAACATAGCATAGTGGATGCTCTGTTTGGAAAGAGAGAAAGTTGAAGGATGTTAAATTCCACTAATTTACTTGAAATAATATTTTTACAATTTTTTTTTCTCCTCAAGAAATCAAAAAAAAAAAAAAAAAAAAAAAAAAAAAAAAAAAAAAGAAGTGTTACAATTGCTTCACTGTGGCTAAGCAATAGGAAATGTAAATGCCCAGATTAGCCAGTTCTGATAGTCACCCAACTGTTTTTCAGCCAAACATATTTCTTCATTTAGTTAGGATTCTGTTAGTTTTATTATAGACTGCTTCAAAGATTTTGTTAAACATGAATTAAATGACCTCCATTCAAACTCCATTCAAATTAGAGGAACTGTAGGAATAAGATGTTCATATAAGATATATCCTACACAGTATGTATGTGAAGACAGAGCTGTCCTTACTTAAAAAAAAAATCTTAGAAAAGCAGATACACAAATATATCAAGTCCACAGTAGAGTTTTGTACAGTATTTGTAGCAAAATACCCCAATGAAGGCAGCTGTACTTCATTTCATATTAGAGCATGATATTTTGGACTGGCTTGTTGAGAAAGCTTATGAATTTGCAGGACCTCCTGATGAACCTAAACTAAGGTTAGAATGATCCTATGATAATATTACCTCACAACAATGTAGCAATCAGTGACTTAGGTTAAGTTTCATCTTCAAAAGGAAAATAAGTGTCCTAAGAAATTCAAAATTATTTATTGAAATTTCATGCACCATCATTCTAACTCATTCAGCCCACTGCCTACAGGCCGAACACTGTCCAGTCCTGTCCACCCTGCAGCTGCCCCCTGCCCCATGCCATCATGGCATCAGCTCTTCCTACAAAGTGGCCTGGCCCCAGGTACAAAGCCATAGCTGAGCAACAGCCAAACATTGTGGTGCTATTAACACTGATCAGTTTTTTGGTATATTTGAGACTCCATTTTCAGTTGGCATAAATACTTAACCTGCACATTTTCAAATGGAATATATAGAGTTACAATCAGATAGTCAATCAAATATCCAACTGTCTCTTTACTACACTTCTACATACCCTCCCTTACTAAAGAAGGATATCCCTCTCTTCACAGTCATGCCTTATTCATATCACTCCTTCTTGGCTGTATGTACAATTATTGTCAAGGATGAAACACAAAGAGAGTAAAATTTCATCAAAAAAATATCTAATAACATTATGAGAGGTCATTGAGAACTGCAACCACTTGTTTCAGGCCTTGTTTCACAAAAACAATGTCAAATATTCCACTAGAATTATGTTTTTGTTGCTCTTTCTTTTTTAAAATTATTAAAACAGAAGAAGTTGTAATATTGCTAATATACATAAATAACATTTTCCATATATGGTCCAAGACAATTTATCCTCACTAAATGGGGCCCAAGCAAGGCAAAAGTTTGGGCACCCATTCTCTAACTGATTTTAAATTGTTGTTCAAAGTCTGTAAAAATAAGTTCAGTTATTTCATCTGACCTGCATGATTGCAGAAAGCACAGCAGAGGAAGAGCCTGTCAGTAAAACAGACATGGCCTTCTTTATGTTGTGAGGTTATATTCACCATTCTGGTGATGTACTTGCCAGTTTACTCATGTTGTAAAGAATGCACAGCAAAATCTTCATCTAGAGGGAACTAGTGCTTCTGTTAACACGAGCCTTAAACATAGCTCCCCAACATAACTTAGATATTTATTTCTATTAAGTTTACTGGAAAATATCTCATGGCAAAGGCTAATCAGCATAAAATTCATAACTGAATGATAGAAAAAAAACTAAAGTGACTTGCTCTAGCACAACAAAATGAGTACTAGTGAATGGGTGGGATTATTTCTTGTTTGTTTTGTTCTCCTAACTTGGAAAAACAATAGACATTTTACATGAAGAAAATAACAAACAAACATTAATAAAATAATAGAAAAAACTGGAATTTTCTTTAAGTAAATGTTAGACTTTTCCTGGCAGACAAATTAGAAGCTTGTTCTCATGTTAAAAACTGAAAATGTAGGAAAAGAATCTGTTGAAATGAAATGATGGCAAACAGGCTGCTTTTGCAAGTAAGCCCCTCTTTAAGACAATAACATTATCAGTATGGTATTTAGCTATTTTGTTCAGTAGTTCTAGCAATGGTTTGTGGTCTTGATTGCTGTTGATGTAAATCTTTTCACTGTAAGTTTTAACATTTCAACTATATTTTCTGGGTTCGCAGTGTATTGAATATCACAAAAAACTCCTTCTGTTTGGTCATGTTACTACTAAGTTGTATGTAAGCCTAAAAATTATCCCAAAAATAACATATACAAATAAAAAAAGGCTGATCTTGAGTTTGGACAATTGGGGACATTTAATACAACACTAAATAAATATGAGATTAGTTTATATTCATATAGATTTAACCTTCATATTCTTAAATAAATCTCCAACAGCTTTATAGTACGTCTATTTTGCATCTCTCCACTGTGTATATTCTGAGATTTTATTATTAAAGTATGGTCTGATCTAAAGCCAACTAGATATTAGAAATTCAATTGTTCTCATTTGAAAACACAGTATTTCCTTTATGGTTAGTCTCTCACATCTTCCTACACTGATAGCTAGTTATCTTCCAAATAAGCATGCAAACATACAAATTACATTTATCGAATTATACGGAAATCCTATCATTAGCTTTATGAAATCAGAACATAAGCATTATTAGGTTCCTGGTTGAAGATGGCCCTAACAATCTTAATTCCTGTTTTTAGATATCAGGCAGTCCAAGAATTTATTATGAACTTACAGGATTGGTCAAACTTGAGATGTTATTGGTTTAGCAATTTTATTCTCACAGAATGGCCCAGATTGCAAGGGACCTCAAGGATCATGAATCTCCAACCCCCCTGCCACAGGCAGGGTCACCAACCTCCCCATTTGATACTAGACCAGGATGCCCAGGGCCCTATCCAATCTGGCCTTGAACACCTCCAGGGAAGGGGAATCCACAACCACTCTGGGCATCCTGTTCCAGCACCTCCCTACTCTCATAGTAAAGAAACTTCAACTCCACGCAGTGAGAAGATATTTAGATCATAAACTGGAAAAAGCAGTCATAATTTTGATTTGTATGCTCTTCACTGTGAGAAAGGAGTTAACCAAATTTGAACATATTCAACTGTTTATAACAGAATGCATTGTATTCATTCCCAGAATTAAGAAGTTACTCCTAAATTAGTTATTGAAAGTTAAGATCATATTAAAAGAAATCCTGACATTTTTACAAGGAAAGCAGTTCACAGACTCTGTTACTAGCATCAGTGCACAACACTAATTCAATGAAAATATCTTGTAAAGCATGGTATTGAGATTCAGCCATGCTTTTAGACATTTGTTGTTGTTGTTGCTATTTTAGAGCTTATATTCCCATTGAAAAGAATGAGATTTTCTCCTCCTATATACTCCTGCATCTTCAAGACCTTGTTTGTCTTTTCACCACTAAGTTTGCTTCAGTTTGCATTTGCAAACTGACATTGTTTAATAGTTGTCCCTACAGCACTGCCACTCTGCACAGAGACCACCTGCCAAATTCTGAATATAAAGTTCTTTGCGCATAATGTTCTATTCTTGATTTTGAATGTTTCATGAACAAAAAGCTAACATTGGACAAAGGCAGTATTAATATTTTATTTCTAAAAATATAAAGTATCTGCTTTTTTATTACTTAGATTGCAACTTTTATACCCTTGTTACCAATACCTTATGATTTGAACCTACTCAGAAAGAAAAGAAACTAGCCAAGTAATACAACACTGATTAGTTTTTGAGCTGTCTTGTAAGGGCAAGGTAAGCAGCAACTGTATAATATCTCACATAATCATCGTCCTATTGTAGGCCTCTTTTCACACATATCTTTTTTGATAAAACAGACCTGAAGTTTAGATTTGAAAAGAAGTGTGTTCACTTGAATGTAAAATCTATATTAGATTCACAACTTTTTTTTTTTTTTAAATGTACAGAACCAGTACATAAAACATTCTACTTTCTCTCAGTACACCCACATTCCCTTGTAAAGACTCCTTTTTGAAGAACTTGCTTTTTTCCTGCATAGAGCAGACACCCCATTAGTGCCCACGGTCACCTGTGGCTAAGAAAGGTAAAGATGACCTGCACCAAGTAGTCCTAAGCCAGGATCACCAAGGCACCTCCTGTCCTCGCCCATTTCTTGGGACTTCTGTGCAGAAGTGCTCATAACTTCTTTGAAGAGGAGACCTTGGTTTTCAGAGGTAATTCTACTGCAGCACTAGAAAGATCATCTATGCATTTTAGACAGCATTAAATTACTTGTTCTTGTTTTTCTTTGCTAAAAATACCTTTTATGAAAAATAGAACATTAAT